ATGGATTTTAAAATAGGTTTTTCCATTTCTGTAACTGATGTCATTTGGATTTTAATGGAGATTACATTAAAACTATTGATAGCTTTGGATAGTACTGGCATCTTAACAAAATTAAAACTTTAAAAATATACTTTATATGTGTATGTAGGCTGATATTTGCATATTTGTGCCTGTGTATGTGTTTCTATGTTTGTCTGTGTCTTTGTATGTTGATTTGGTATGAAAAGAATATGAAGTGGCTCTCCACCTAGGGCACTCTGGTACACAGTAGGTGATCAGTAACTAACTTGCAGAATGGTGGTGTCATACACTGAATGAGCAGAGAGCTTGATATTGGCATGAAGTTCAGAGGTTATTGTTTATCTTTGGTCAGCCAATGCTCAAGCTGTACTTGTGCTGATTTGTTTATCTCCTCCTAACGGTTTGTTTATTCATTTAATTATTGCATTAGTTCATCACATAAGCACCTGCTACTTGCTCAGTGCTCTACTATTGCTAAGGACATAAAGTGATGAATAACATAAACATAATTTCTCTTGGAGTTTATGACATATTTGGGGAGAAAGACACTAAAGAAATGATAATTAATGTTTTAACTAATAATTGCTCTATTAGGGGCTGTTAGCTCATCTTAATAGAGCTGGTTGATTCTACTACGAATGACAAATTTACTTACATCCACCAGAGTTTCTTTTTTTGAAAGGGGAGGGGCTGCAGAAGAACTGAGGTATAGGCCAGATGTGTGGGGGGTGAGAGGATTCACCAGAGATGAGGTGGGGCACAGAACAGGCATTTCTACTGAAATACACTGCTAAGGGGAGCAGCAGGTGAGACAGGAGAGGTCTGCTGAGCCATAGGTAGGTCAACACCCTAGGCAGGGATCAAACTCAGGCTCTAGCTGTGATAATTCTGAGACCTAAGCCTTAGGCCACCAGGAAGGCCCCCCATCCACCATGATTTCAAGGGTTATCTTTGGAATACTTTTTACCTTTTTCTAAAAAACTATTTTGATTTGTTCAGATGCCACATTAAGCCTTAAGTCACTAAATCAAGAAAAAGAATATTTGGGGGGAAGAAAATCCTAAATCACCACAACATGGGCCTAGATTGACCCTTTATGATTGGGGTTGGAATCTATAGTCATGGTTTTGACAGAAATTGGACAGGTTAGCAGTGGGAGGAAAATACAGATACTCTAGCAAAAAGTGTTTTCTGTTGGGGGATAAACTGCAGATTGGGAGACTAAGGGCAGATTTTCTGTATCTAGTGGCTGAAAATTTGGGGAATAGAATCCCATGTTGATCTCAGATGGGAAACAGAAAACAGTGTTGAGGGAGCAAAGGACTAGAACCAGAGACCCCATATTCAAGACCTGAATGCCCTCTTCTGGCTACATAACCCTGGACAAGTCACTTTTTCTTTCTGACCACCTCAGCATTTCCCTCTGCAAAATGAAATTAATCATCTTTGCCAGCTTATAGGGTAGTTTGAGTACCAGCACAATTGTCTGTGGGATCATTTTCATTGTTCTCTTCATGCATCAGATTCGTCTCATTTCTGCTACTTGTTTACACCTGTATTCTTGGCACTTCTGCCATTCCACATGAGTAATTTCTGAATTAAAACTGCCACTCAGCTGGAAGGCCTTGGAGTCTCTAGTTTATTAATCTGAATATCATTCAAGTCAGCATATGTTGTTTTCTAGATGCACCAAGTAAATTATTCCAGGGCTGGAATCAGTGCTCTTTGGTGTAGAAACAGTGTAACCAGAGAATGAAGAAATTTAGAACAAACACACAATTATGGCATAATCCAAAGGGAGGCACAGGACCAGGTGACCATGTCCCTAAGATCCTACCCAGTGGATTTGCATAAACTAATCCTCATGAAGCTAAAACTGTGACCTGGCATTAGAAAGTTGAATTATGGATGGAGGCTGTCTGGTGGTCTTGCCTTGCTCCATCTGTCTGATCCATATTCAACCTGTCACTTACACACAGGCTTCTCTCATAAGGGGATTGGAATGGGTAGACCAGGACACTAACTCTAGATCTTGACCTTGGGGACTGCATTCCAAGGACTCAGGAACAGCTTCTGATCCAAGGTAGCCATGACACACACACTGAACTAGCAGAAACTGTGTTTTCTCCATCAGGTATATTTCAGTCAGGTATATGTCACATCTGAGGGCTAAAAAGTGAGTTCAATCTAGCTTCAGCAAAAGCAAAATTTTAAAAAGAGGTGGCGGGATGAATTAGCTTATATAATTAAGAAGTCAAAGAGATGGAACTAGATTCAGACAAAACCCAGGGGTTCAGGAACTATTGCTGGTTCTGTTCTCTCTCCTTCTCTTGATTGTCCTGTCATTTTTGGCTTGGGTTTCTAGTCCAGTAGGGTCTTTCCCTCTGATAGCTCTTTGAACCCCAGCTCACTACAACATCCAGCAACTCAACATCCTCCGTAGAAAAAAGCAAATTACTTCTGAAAGCTGTGCCTGAAAAGCCCTGGCAAGGCTCTGGCTGGTCCCGTCTACACCACATTTCCATTCTTGGCCCAGCCCTCAGGGCAGGACTAGGTCAAATCCCTAATGCCAGAGATGATAGCAAGGGAGTCAACCCTACCCACACTGGATGGAAAAGTTCTCTCACTCAAGAGAGGTGGATCCTGTCACTAGAAGAAGGGGGTAGGGAAAGATGGAAGCTAGACCGACTCCCATGACAAGGATCCTGCACACAGAAAAAGCTCCAAGCTCACACTAGCTTTTAAAACACTGTGATCTCATTTGCTTTCTATTTTCAAGGATCTGAAAAGTCTGCAGTAAAGAGATCACATTCAATTTGCTTCAGCCAGCATTTCCTAAAATGTTTTGACAGCAGATTTTGTTTTGCAGATTCAATTTTAAAGTCTTAAAACAAAAACAAAAATCTGATGGACTGGAAAAGACTGCAATTCAAATACAGAGAAAAGCCAGGGCCGAACAGTCTGAGGCAGGAGTGAAGTCGGTATTCCTGGACCAAGGGGCTGGTGCAGGACAGAGGTGCCCGAGAGTGAACAGCAAAGGAACAAGCAAAGGCCCGCGCATGTGTGACTGTTCGTGGATAGTGGATTTTGTTGGAACAGAGGGCATAGGTGGCGAGAGTGGCCAAAGAAGATAGCAGCTGCAAACTGTAATAGTGCCACCACTTTGGGGGCCCCTCTCACGGTGGGTAGGGAAGTGATATTGAGGAAGGAGATCGGCGTTCATCTAGTGAGGGTGTTACACAGGTATCTCCATAAAAGGAGGGTGAACCAAATTCCCAGCTCCCACTTACATGCAGCCCCTTGGATTACCTTCTGGGAACTAGGGCGAAGCTGAAGAGCCTAACAGGAAGGTAGGTAGACTCTGGGGGAAAAAACTCATTTTCCTGTGGCCTGATTTGTGCCCTGGTACTTCTGGGAAGGAGACACAAGAAGGAGACATGTAGAGACACTTGGAAGAGACACGTGCGCGAAAGACGTGTGGGGAGGTTGACAATGGCAGACGTTGTCTTGATGTGGTATCTCCTTTTGCCCTGGCTTTCTGGGACCTCCTGTTTCAGAACCCCTTCACTGTGGTTCTCCCCCAGAAGGTAACTAAGACTATGGCAAGCTTTCAGGTCTCAGCAGAACAGCTTTGGGCCAACACTATTTGGTTGGGCATTTCTCCACAAAAGGATTGGTAATTTGGGGTGTTTTATTAGGAATCTATTACCCCTCTCTTCTCTCTCTGCACACTAATTTTACTAAAGTTCTATCACACAAAATTATACTTTGCCTTTGTGCCTATGGACGGCCATACCCCTTTACCGCCTGCAAGTTTGGGGTCCCAGGGTGGCGCTTGGTCACATGCTAACAAAAGCAGTGGCCACCATCATGGCAAGGGCTCCTCAGCTAATAGAACCATTTCCCCAACACATGGCAGAACGAGCTGCTGAAAATTCAGGGCAAAACTCTCATGGTTCACTGACGGTGGGAATCTTTTTTTTTTAATTTTATATATTTTTTACATCATTTTTCGTTTTTGCACAATGTATGCATTTTCATCTTGGTTATATTCCCCATACAATTCCCACCCCCTTGTTTTGATCCTAACCCCCCTTCCTTCCCCCCCCACCCCCTGTAGTGTGTCTCTGGTTTATAGTTGCTTGTGGATTTTGATTTTTACTTTATTATAATTAGTCTCACTCATAGTAGGCATTTAGAAAATCTAAATAAGGGACCAGGATGAAGGCAGGAATCTGAAAGTCATTTCCCATGAGGCTTTCAGGCTCTGGCATGGGACTCAATCATGACTTGTATCTGTCAGGATCCAAACTGGAAAACAGAAACAGAAATCAGTGGACTGAAAATAAGGAATTTGGTATGGCGAACTGGTTATACAGTGGGCGGAAAGGCTGAAAGCAGAAGAGGTAAATACAGTGAGATATTCTGTATTCTGGGGTGTATATATAGTGGCAAGCCCCTGCCACCTCATGACTAGAGGTTCAAAGTGGGGAGACAATGCTACTAGAGCCCAGAGTCTGAGGTCCCCTAGCAGAAACTGACATCAACAGGAGCTGGGGCTGCAGAAGTGGGCACAGTTACTTCTGGAGATATGATTCGTGTGTGTGTGTGTGTCCATTCTTTTCCCTCTCCAGTGTCCTGTCAGTATTTGCCATTACTAGTCACAGACAGAAGCCAGCTGACCCAGAGCCTCAAATGCAGTGACCGGAGTCAACCTTTGCAATTTCCTGCTTGGCTGAGAGGTCATGAACCAGCACAGAAGCCCCACCTCAAATCATAAGACTATGTGGCAGTTTGCTCAGGGACTGGCAAACTTTTTCTGTAATGGACTAGGTAGAATATCTTTTAGATTCTGGGGGCCTGTAATCTCTGTTGCAACTACTCAACTCTGCTGCTGTAGTGTATGCAAGGCAGCCACAGAATACATGTGAACAAACTGTTGCATTCTAATAAAACTTTATTTATATAGACAATTATGGGCTGCATCTGCCTCAGGGATACATGTGCCTGTGTTGTATGAAAGGCAGTTACTATCTTTTCCCTGGACCACCCTGGAAGTGAACTCTGCTTCTCCCCACAAGAACAAAATTCTGTGCTGCACAGGTCTCAAGGTTAGTAAAAGAATCACTTGAAAATATTCTTATGCTTAAAAACTGTTTCTCCCAGAATTCTGACTTGTGATATATTTTGGGGGGGGCTATCACAACAATCTTTAAGATGCACCCACATGTTGCCACCTGGACCCAGCACCATCTCCAACCTTCTCTAGGACAACATGCAATTTCTTCTTCCAAGAGCCCCAGTCACCAGGGAAGCTTGAACAGCAGGGGGTTGATTTTGAATTGTACATAATGAACCACCAGTCAAGGGTTGCTCTCTCATTGGTTTGAAGAGGCTAATTCTGTCTCTGGAATCATGAGAATAATTCTCCAAAACGCCCTCTTGGGGTTTGAGATGGGTTCAGGCAGGCGGTGACAATGTATTCAGGTCGGAATTGGTCTAAAGTGCTGCAGATGCTGCTTAACCCCTAGAGACCTGGACCCTTCCTCAAGTTCAGGGCGCAGTGGATGCATAGGCTGATCACCCCTTATCTTGGGGAGGGGCTTAGTAGTAAACCGACGCATCCACAAAATGAAATTCCTCCCTCGAAGACACACTTCTCTAGAAAGCCTTCATTACTGGAATTCCAAATGGAAAACATCACTCATTTTAGCACTGGCCTCTGCCACAATCCAGGGTGGGCTGTTTTAGACTGTCCCACCCTCCTCATCTTCATCCCACATCTTAGTCCTCCTCCCTTTGCTAATGCCCCCAAGATGCCATGCATCACCCTGGTAGCCATGGCCCTCAGGGCGGTACAGTAACAACCAATATGACAAGAGACGTGCTTGGTTGGAAGACTCATGCAATCAGACCACATGACACCTGCCACTCCCAAGGTCAGGAATGTACTCCTTCAAGTCCTCTCCAGAAAGAGAAACATGCCTAGAGATATGGTGAGGGCCAATATTATAGTATCCTTCTTTCTTGATCTTGTTACCCTCCCTTTTATATGTCTATCAAATAAAAGAGGGGCAGAACAAAGAGAAGAATTATTTTAATTGTATTATTTTTTATAGAGGTGACGTTGGTTGACAGCATTGTATATGATTTAGTGGTATAAGATCACCCCTCTTCAGATGTGTGTTCCCACACCATGTGTGTCACCAGACTTCACAGGGCCCTCCCCCCTTTACCCTGCACTGAGAGGAACTATCTTGTTCTGGGGTCTTGAATAGATACAAATCATCTTTTTTTTTTTTTTGGTGTTAAGTACTTTATTTTTTTCATTGTATGAATATACTCTAATTTATTTATCCATTTCATTATTGAACACTTAAATTGTCTCCATTTTTAAGCAATTTACACTCTTCCTAGCATTGTCTGAGAGTTCCTATTGCTGTACATACTTCACAACAGTTGGAATTGCCAGTCTTTAAAATTTTATCACTTTTTTCCTTTTTTATTATTTTATATATTTTTTTACATCATTCTTCATTTTTATGCAATGTATGCTTTATCCTCTCAGGTGCAGTCCCCATGGAATTCCCACCAACCAATTCACCATTTTTACCTGCTCTGCTGACCTGGGACTCTCAGCTGTCAGTCTCAGCTCGCCTCCTGGTCAGACCGCATTTCTCTCCTCCTCAGCTCCATGTACTCACAGGTGACTCTCCTGTTATCGCTGCCTCAGATGGACTGGCCCTCCAGCTGACAACTTCCCATTCATGTGCAGCCTTCTTGGTGGTCCCCATTCTCACTCCCAAGCTGATTTCTCTTCAACTTGTGAGCAGGGCATGGACATCATCTCATAATATATACATGTCTCCAGGTATCATGGCATTGAAACTGCTCTTTCCTGGCACTTGGGAAGAAGTTACTCTACACTGAAAAAGCTTTCTGAGACAAAATATTTGATGGCAGATACACATCTGTAGTTGTTTCATGTCATCTTGAGGGCCTTGAACAGTATTATGCCTGATGACAATAATATGCATCCTTTACCAAATCCTGTGGATTGGAAGTTCTTACATGGAGCCACATCCAGGTGGGGAAGGTTCCATGATTGATTGGTAATGTCTGTAGCAGGTGTCAACCAGGAGAGTGACGCGTTACATGCTGCTGCTCTGCTGTCACTTGGTAGGTGTTCAACTGTTACTTACTGGAGCTGAGTTGAGATGTAAAGAATTCAGAAGCAGAAGTTAGAAAAGCTGGAATTTAAAATTAGCATTGTTGCTAATTAGCTGGGTTGATGCTGAGCAAGTTTCTAATTCTCTCTGGGCCTCCATTACCTTAACGATTAAGGGAAAGTTGAGACCAAAACAACTTAATTTGGAGCTTCCAACCTTACAAAAGCTTGTGAAAAAAATGGATGGATGTTCCTTAGATGACTGTTAACATGACAAAGAGACTAATGAACAGGCTGTAGAGTAGACGGGTTAAGGGTGACTTGGTGATCAGATCCACCCTATTTTGGAGCCTCATTGGTCAAGAAACCCTCTGCACCTGTTTCTGACACCAGGAGATGGTGTCTAGAAAGGATTAAGGAAGATAAAGTTTGTAAAGCCCTTAGCTGGGCATCTAATAAACTATGTTATTATGGGTATTACTATTTGAAATGGGCTAGGCCTCATGTCTTTTTGGGGTATCACACTTACCAAGTGATCATTACAGAGATCCATGGTTATTCTGTGGGAAAACACATCCTTTTTCAGATCAGAGCTGTCTAGTTTGCCAGCTGCATCTTTAGAAAATGAAACCCAAGGGAAGAGGGGGGACAAATCAAAGAGTCCTCTGATGTAGAAAAGGCCAGGGACCCCGGGGATGGTTGTCCTCCCAAGTCCTTTCTGATGCTGACCGTCTGCACTCCTTAAATGCCACGAATGCATCTCCACAGGGCTTGGCACACAGACAACTCTCCCGATGGGAGGTGACGCCATTCTGAGATTTTCTGTACTATTCTGTGACTCAGTGTACAGTTCGTGTCCCCTGTTGGGCCAATTACCGACTTAAAACGTTGTTAGGAGAAGGCGAGCATGTTCATTATGTGGCAGCAAGCACTCAAGCCCAGCAGTTTTCTATTTATGCTTTTGAAAAAGCCATTCTTTCCTAGTCTCTTTGTGTGTGCATGTCACCAAAGGCCTCCAAATCACAGATTCTTCCCTGGTGCTGTCCATCTTCCCTCCCCAGGCCCATCCATCACCCTCTCCTGCTCTGCGGGGATCGGCCGGGACAAGAACTGCAGGGAAACAAGGAGCCGAAGTTGTCGGTGACAGAGATGTCAGGCGCTGGAAAGATTGAAGGGAACGAAAGAAAAGTGATTTCTCCATTCAGCATTCTTGATGCTCAAATGGAAATGAGGTCACATGATGCCATCACCATGGGCAAATTCAGGGAAGACGCTCGAAGTCATCAAATAAGCCAATAGCTCCATCCACTGAAAGGTAGACATGAGCAGGAATGAGAAGCCCTGGCTCCAGTTATGACCTGCTTGACCTTTCTGGCTTCTGGACTTTTCTTCTGCAAATTGAAATCTTGGGAAGGATCTTCATTGAGTTCCCATCCAGCTTCTGCAAACCTTGCAGTTACAACTTTCCTGAACCAAAGCTGGTGGAAAAATTGAGTTAGGTGGGAGATTCCCAGGGACCTAAGATCAGAGCTCACCCCAGAATCTCAACCCACCACAGCTGAGGGATACCCAGCTCTGGATATAGCTCGGGTAAGCCCATGTCCTTTGAAATACAGAACTCAAAATTCCATGACCTGGAATACTCCTTACCCATCTGATAATCTTTTTGTCCATGATAAATATTTTATTGCAAGAAATACAAATGTAGGCACTTTTTATTAGTCCAAGCCGGCTAGCAATCAGAGAATAGATTAATGCTTTCACTGGACTTTTCCTAAGCAAGTAGAATAAGCTCACCTCATATTACATAGGATTTGTTCTTCCAGGAACGTGGAGTCCTTTCTCTTCTTCAAGCCAACCTGACATCTAAGTCCCCATCTCATCAGGAGCTTCTTCTTCACCCCAACTACGAAGAGGTCTGCACTCTCCAAAATCAGCTCTCCTGATTGTGTTTTTCTATATTTTCTTCTTCTGTTGTTTTTTAAAAGCACTCTACACGAAAGTATGGGGCACAAAATTTCCAGAGGTAACTTTAGGGAGCCGAGATTTCTTGATTAGCTACAAGATTCCTACCTGCTTTCTCCATCTCTCCTGCCTCTTTTCTAGCCCTGTGACCAACAGAAAGCTAGAGAGTTGCATAGGGACTTGTCCCCCTTTGCCAGGCTCAATCTCCATGGTGGCTTTTCCCTTTCAATCTAAAGGGAAAGGTTTCCTTTCTCAACAGAGAGCTCTCCTCCTTTGTAGCACCATGAGTGTCTCAGTGTTTACTGAGTTAATATGACAATGGTCTCCTTAGCAACCTTGCTCTCCCAGGATTAGGGGAGACAAGTCCCTCTTAACTGCTCCAGGTTACAAAAACCCCAACCTACACCAGAACACGGTAAACAGAATATAATGAGGTTACACAAAAGCCAGTGACATAGGGAGGGTTGTCACGCCACGCGGTGGGGCTTTGTAACAAAGGCCTGGAACACAGCATCCCAGCCCTAAGTGAACGGTGTTCTAGAGAGAAACGCTTACCTCTCTTAGCTTTGATGGAGGCTCACAAATAGCAAATGTGAGCTCTTAGCATGGCGTCTGGCACACCGCATCAGCACTGAGGATGCCTGATGGGTGTGAAGAGTTTGTGGTCTTCGAGACTTAGGCTCTGAGAAGACAGGGCTCCATCTGCCTCCCTCAGCAGCTGATGTGCTGGGCTCGTAGCTGATGCTTCAATGTTTCTGTTGCTTAGTTGCACTTGATGGTTGTTATTACATTATTGGGGCCCTGAGAAACCAGAGGAGGTAGATGACACCATTACCTTACATTTTACAGATGAGAAAAATGAGACTCTGAGACCAAGTCTCTGGACTCTCAGATCCCTTGTAAGTGACAGATCCAGGCTCTGCTCCCACATCCAATTGACATTAGTGCCAAGGCTCTAGCCCCCACAAAATGGTCTCAACAGACACCTGCTCTTTCTCTGATCTCTGTGGAGAACAATACATGGCTCAATTTCTCTTCAGTTCTCTCTGCCCTGTTTTCCTGCCAACTTGGAGGAAGCCAATGTGATGTGGAAAAGTCCCTTGAGAACTTGAAGCATTCTTTGCGCTTTGAAATCCTGCAAGTCTGTCTGCCTGCTCTCCGGGCTACCTTGTGCCCCTTGAAATTTGCTTCCATATTTGAAGCTTGAGTGATCCAGTTTCAACATGGCTCATTCTGATTCACTGATCAGAGCTCATTGTCTGTTGCTTTTCCAGCATATGTTTATCCAAGTTAATCATAGTAACAGAGGATCACACGTCCCTGGCATGGGACTCTGCTGCCTGGGCAGATTTTCCTGGCAGGGAACCCCAGCACACGGGCTGCAGGAACGGGTAGGCACAGTTAATTTTATGGTAAGGTGCTGACAGCCACCTTCAGGTGGGCGAGGATGAAGGAATGAGAAAGCGCAGACTTGCAATTGAGCACACCTGGGAGAGGAAATGTAGTTCAGGGCGCAGGCTCTTCAGTGGGAGCTCCAGAGAGTAAGTGAGGCAGCAGAACTGCCTCCTGTGGCTGCAGAGTTTGCCTCTGATCCTGGGACTCCCTACTCTGGGCTGATGCTAATCAGTGACTTGGGAACATAGAACTGAGCCAGACTAGAAACCTGTGCGGGATCCTTTCTTATTCTCAACATCCACATCCAATTAGTCTCAAGGTCCTCTTGAGTCACCTGCTCTCTGAGTTCACCCATGATCATCTCTTCCCTGGACTTCTGCAATTGCGTCTCCACTGTCTTTCAACCCTCCTTGCCTCCAGGACCTTTCTCCGATGCATCATTTTCTTTGCAGCTGGAGTGATTTTCTTAGAGGAAAATCCACTCAAAACTCCTTGAAGTCTTCTTGTGTCTGTATCATAAAACCAAATCTCTTAACGTGGCATTCAAATCCCTTCAAGACTGAGTCCCTGCATAATTCTATGGTCTCATCTCTTCGCACCTGTATTCACCCTTTGTGAGCCTCTCTGGCCTTTTCACCTTCGTGTCTCTGCACATGGTACTTCTAGTACCCACAAGTGGACACCAGCCCTGGAGTCCCTTATGCAATTCTTAAGAATTGATGCTCCACTCTCCTCCAAGGGATGTACTTCAGCTCTCCAGGAAAAAATTTGGGGTTAACTGAAATTTAGGGTAACACTCAAAAGACTGAAAGGGATATTGTGCAAATTAAGCATAGCCTGCATGAGCACAGAAGACTGATAGATACTAACTGAGATGATAAGGGATTAGAGCATGGGCTTTTGATATGGACACGTAAGTATACATTTCAGTTCAGGCATCAGTCATGAAGCCGTAGGAAAATGCTGAATCACATTTAGCCCGGGTTTCCTACAATGGAGCCCATTAGCTGCTGGGCCCGCTCAAGAACCCCCTTATTATTACAATGAACAAAAGCAATAATGTCTAATATTTATTGAGCATTTTATGGTGCCTAACACTGTTTTAACATTTAATTCATGCAAATACTCAAGGAAGTGTGGTTTATTATGAGCCTTTTGTATAGATGAGGAAACAAGAGGTGAGGTATAATGAGAATAAATAGCTGGCCAAGAACTGGCTGACAACAGAGGCATGCTCTTCTGCCCCTTGTGTTCCCACTGTACCCTTTCCAGAAGATTCAGATACAATAAGACCTGGAGCTTCCCATCCCCTTACCTCCATTTAATTATCCTCATTCATTCAAGCAGATGTAATTCTCCTCATTCTTCCACCCAACACCTGCGGAATAAGTGGTGCAGCGGGAACCTTAAATAGCACTTCCATACTGACCAAGGTGTGGTTGAGCTCTGGTCCACTTATCAAAACTTCCGAGAAAGTTTTGAAGAAACCATGCCTTTGTTATGCCAGTGCCTCTGGAGTGGTCTCTGAGCCTCTACTGCATCCTTGTGTATAGTTATGACGCCATAGGCGCATCTATGAGCTCATCTCCAGCCCCTTCTGCCCCGCCTTCCCACGGCTAACCTGTATTTATACACTTGTTGTGCAGTTAAGGATGGCCCATCAATTCCCACACACTCATTGTCGTGGCCTGATGGATGGAGTTTGTCTGTGTTTATATGTTTTATAATTTAATTTTCCACCAGAGATAAACAGAGTTGTTTTGCTGAGACTATTTCTTGTAAGAATTGAAATCAACTCAAGCATCGATTCAGAATCATTTTGCAAGGACAGAAGCACTTTAGATTTAGACGCTTCAGTGTACTAGATATGGATTTTGGCTTTGCAACGCAAAAGAGGGGGGGTCTGCCACTATTTTGTACTTGCTGTATACCAGTCACTGTGCACTTAACATGCATTTTCTCACTGAATCCTCAGGGCAAATTTTGAGAAAGGTGCCATATTCTAGATGAGGAATCAGGAAATGAGGGTTGATGTGACTTACCCAAGGCTGCTTGGAGGTGTGATCAAAACAGAAACACTAACCTCTGGAATCCCAACTCGGTGATGATTTGTTTGTTCATTCAGTCACTCATTTATCCAACCAGGAAGCTTTGGTGCCTCCCTGTGTTAAGCCCTGGGGACTCATCATTGAAAAAGACAGTCACAGCTCTGTGTTCATGGACGCTGTATTGCATTTTGTTGGGAGCGCATTATGCTTGCAAAATAGCCATCACCTTTTATTTGCCAAGCACTTTAAAGTTTATAAAATGCATTCGCACCCATTATCTCATTTTGAATAAATTTACTGTACTCCCTGATGCTTAAATAAATGGCAAATGAGACCTGTGACTTTGGAGTAGCCTGTTATTGAAAGCGAATCCTCTTCTACTCAATCTTTCCCAAACCAGAGTCTTGTGTTTACTATACTTGAGGCAATTGCATTTAAATTAAATTACGTCCCTCTTTCATTCACTTCACTCTCTGCTTTCTGCTGCTCTTAAAAATGCTCCTTGGGTCTCCAGATTGGTGACTTTTGCTTTCTATTACCATCACATTTGCATGAACTTGTAGATCTTCCAGTGCCAGGGGTCACCTTGGAGACCTACAGATTTTGATTTGACGGCGGGGGACAATCCCAAGCAGTGAATCCCCTTCGTGAAAAGCCTGCTATTCCCCGACCACATACACAGTCTTTCCTTTTCAGATTTCCTTTTCTTATAATCGAGAGCGATAACAAGCAAATACTCTAACAAGCTGCTGTGCACCAACTATGTGTCTATAGCCCTGTAGATCATGATGAAGGATTAAAATATCTTTTTCCCTCAGAGTGATAGGGAGTCATGGAGTGTTATATCCCAGCTGTGAGAGAATCTGTCCGTTTCTGCTCAACTTTCCTTTTTGTTGATGGGGAAAGACCCTGTAGGCAGATGGCAGTAGCTGTTCTCTGCAGCTCCAAGCTGTAGTTAAAAATTCCTCACATCTTTAATCTGCAACCAATAATAATACAATAATTCTTATACCAATAATATCATCACTATATGTGAACCTAAGTCTGGATATTTTATCTGGGGGTTCACCAGACATTTTGTCATCGACCTAGAGTTTAGAGGCTATTCAGTCTTGTAACAATACTTTTGCAGATAATCATCTCACAATTATAATTTTTAGTTCTTCCTTCAAACCACGAAAGAAATCTTGTCCTTGTGGAATTTTACTAGTGGGTGAGACAGCAAATTAGCAGAACAATAACCAAAGCACAACTGTGAGTCAGGACATGAAAAATATAAGCAGGACATGAGCTATAAAGAAACCAAGAAGGCTATTTAGACTCTGAGAAAAGAGGATATTTAAGGGAAATCTGAAGGGTGGGATGGGGTGAACCACACACACTTAAGGGGACAAGCATTCCAGGTACAAGGAACAGTGTGGAAAAGGGATCAAAGGTAGAAAAGGACACTTTCTGATAGGAAAGAGTCACCCCGCACTGACAGGAAGCCAATGTGAGAGGAGCCGGTGAATGAAACAGTACGTAGTAGCTATAAGGTGAGACCCACTGGTGGCTCTGACAAGGGTAGCAGTGGTGGGTGGAGAAGGAGAAATCTATTTGGGATACTTGATAGTATGGTCAAAGCTCTCCCGATGGATGTTGTTTTATAGAGAGGCGTTCCCGAAATGCCCAGGAGGAGGCTCGAGGACAATTTTGAGTCTTTCACATCCATCATGGCACCTACTGCACTAATTTTGAGAGTTAGTGTGACTTGAAAGTTGAAAAGAACCTCTGTTCCCTCTCCTCAGAGGCTGGTGCTTCTACCTTTGTCCAGGTTCAGTGAGCACAGGCCAACAATGCTCAGCGCCTGCTCTGAAGACTCAAGTGCATAAGTGACAAGCATGGATAATTAGCAAATGTCAAGGTTTTCTGACAGTTGTTCTATTTAGTGGCTGGGTGAAACCTCTTCCAAACAGCTGCTGAAGTGTCACTGCCATTGTGCTAATCACTACAAATTAATACTTAATGAAGTCATAAGCACAGACATTATTAAATGAAAATGGGTTGCCTGGAAGAATGAGGCACACTTGTGATGACTAAACATTTTAAAATTTTATTTTGTCTATCTATCTATCTATCTATCTATCTATCTATCTATCTATCTATTAATTACCTGGAGCAGAACATCTTCCTTTCCCCAATAAGAAGTGAGCTATAGATCGGTGGAGAACAGAGCTGACTCATTGTATCGGTTACCTGTTGCCTCAATAACTCTGCTTAACAAGCATCCACAGAAGCCTAGTGACACACAGCAGTGTTTATTGCTCATGTGCCGGTGGTGGCTGGCTAGGTGACTCTGCTCTGGGTCCTTGGCTGGGCTCTCTTGCCCATCTGTGTGTGGCAGTCATGGAGGTGTACTATTTATATCTTGCATCAAAAAGAATTTTATGCTCAGCTGCAGGGAGTACAGCTACCTGACCGCCTCTAGTTGTTACTACCTTCAGGGTCGATCTTCGCTTTCAAGGCAAGGCCACACATGTGGAGGGCAGACCTCAGGTAAAGTCTGAATGTAGCAGGGTCATAGAGCCTGGCTATTTGTTTGCCCAATGTTAGACTCCTATAAAGGAAATGATTTGCTCTAGATCTTCCTTTTGGTTTGGGGCTTTATCAGATGTGGATCATTAAGACACTGCCCAATTCTGCTTCCTCCGTCCTTCCTTTTATAAATGTCCAATCCTTATGGCAGACTAAGGCTTTTCTCTGCCCAATTCTACTTTCTTTTCCTATTAGATTTCACCAGTGATATCCCTCAATAAACACCCAGTGCTCTGAACTCCATTTATGCACCTGCTTCCCACATGATTCAAGTGACACATTGAGGTTGGCCGGTTGTAGCTGGCCTCGGATGGCCTCAGCTAGGCTGGCTGGAGTTAGGAAGCTCTGCTCCAAATGTCTGTCATCAGCAGGTCAGTCTTGATGGCAGCACAAGAGATCAAGCAGAGGCATGCAGGACCTTGTGTTACGGAGGTGCTGTAGACTCCAGATATTAAACTCTTAACCCCAATGTCACTATTTTGGAGGTAGCCCCAGCGGAAGCACTTAAGGTTAAATGAGGTCATAAGGAGGGAGCCCTGATCTAAGACATTAGTGTCCTTGCAAGATGAGACTTAATCTCTCTCCCTCTCCCTCTCCATACATACGCAAGAAGAGATGGTTGTCACTTGCAAGTCAAGAGAAGAGACCTCAGAATGAACCATGCCTTGCAATCAGCCTGATCTTGGACTTACCTTACCTTCAGAATGGTGAGAAATAAATCCCTGCTGTTCAAATCACCCAGCCTGTGGCAACTATGATAAAGTAAGACACTGCTTAAAATCTGGGCTTAGGACAGATACACTGCAGTTTCCATTTCATTGTGTTGTCTACAGAAATGTCACGTAAGAAAGGAAGTGCTTTGTCTCTAGATGAGGAACTCCAAGGCCACATGACAAAGGAAGAGCGCAGGGAGAGATGAACAGGTGGGGCCCCTGTTGCCGTTGGCCACACTCATCACCCCTGGCCCAGCTGGCCCAGTGAGTGCTGTTGTCACTGAGCTTTTGCCCATAAATTTCCACTTCATCAATGTTCCTTTTCTCTGCACTTGAATATTTGCCTCTTATCTGACCTTTAAAGCCCTCTTCTGGAAAATCCTTTCTGACCACAATCTCTGAGTCCCTTGGAATCTCTCTAGGCAGAGACTGAGAATTTTCAATGTGTGGGTCAAATGCAAATTCAAATTTGCCCAGTTCCAAAACAAGTCTCAGATAAGTGTTTGTGGAAAAAACAAGTGATTAAATGAATGAAACACAGTAAGAGACAAATGAGAGTCCTCCTATGTGATAATGCAGATAATGTTTGTATTTACTTCATAAAATTGTTAAGGAGAATTAAACAAGGCACACCATGTTAACACATCCCTGGTACGTTCTGAGTGATTAGTCTTAAATGTAAAAACTAAAATAAAAAGCTGCTAGAATAAAAAAGATAGGCAAACATCTTGCTGACCTTCTGGGCAGGCAAAAGTTTCTTGGAAAGGGCTTGGAAAGCATGAATCACAAAAGAAAAAAAAAAATGAAGGTGGCTCCACCAAAAATAAAAACTGCTTATCCACATATGCCTGTAAGAAAATAAATAGATAAGCAACAGAGTGGAGGAAAATATTGCAATGCATATATCTGACAAAGAACTTGCATCCAGAACACATAAAGAAGTCGTACATCTTGATAATATAAAGACAAGCAATTCAATAAAAGACTTTAGTAGACATGTCAGAGAAGAATATATGCAATAAGAACAGGAAAAAGCGTTCAGCATCATTAGTCATTAGAGAAATGCCTAATAAAATCATAATGAGATACTGCTACACACCCACAGAATGACTAAAATTAAAAGGCCAGCACCACGGATGTGGGTGAGAGCGTGGGGAGTCGGGACTCGCCACTGAGGGTC